TAACATTAGAGAGTCTGGTTCATTGGACAAATTTAAACGCCTTCTCTACCATAATTTTTAAACACGGCATTCATGGAAACCAGGATTTTTCTTAAGTGGTATATTAATGTAAGTTAATTTAATGTTAGGATTTGGATTTTTAGTCATTATTATGTGATTTTTTCTACCTGATGTTTTTACCGTGTATAAATAATGATTAAAGATCAAATATCAAAATTAAAGATTAAAGATCGAACACGTACAACATAAGTCGATAGGTTTTCGAAATTAACTCTTTGGAGTTTTGCTATCTTAGTAAAATACTCTTCTCAGGTTTCCTTCAATTCAAAGGTAATTTTGTACGCGGCTTATAAATGACTGATCGTGAGCTGGCTGAGCATCTTGAAGCACGCGGATCTTAAGGGAAAGTTGATATAGAATGCAGCCTTCCATTTTGTTTCTCATTTGAAAATCTGATGAAAATATTGAAGAATTTCTTTAGTCGATTCCCAAGGACTTTTAATTTGTTGAGAATTATATATTCAATGAAGCTGGTTGTATTGACGAAAAATATACAAGTATCATTTTGTTTTTCAGAGGTTTCTGTAAAATTCCCGCACGTATCAGTCCAAAGCTGGTTAGATGGAAAAAAAAAAAAAAGAACTTTCATGTTTCAATCGACAGCTTTGATGGTTCGGAAAGTAGTTCGAGAGAAGAAGGGTAACTTGAAGGAGTTAATCAAAGTTTTACTTCTGATTCTTATGTAACTAGAAGTTGATATCATAGAATATACGTTGGGCATTAATTGTCAGCAGACAGGCTAAATACTAAGATAAGACATTAACGGGTTTCCGCGGGAGAAATTTCAAGAGCTTACTCTCGAACTGAACAATGTGTGCCTTTACAAGAATGTGCAAAACGTACTGACGACGCGCTGAAGTGTACACAATAAAAGTCTCAGCCTTTTAAAAAGTGTCACTGAATCTTTTCAGCATCGTCGAAGGGGACATCAACTGTGAGCCAATGAATATATAGTATTGCAAATGCCTTTATCAATACAGGATGTTTACGAAGCTTTTTGATTGTTTTATTTCTTCTAGCGCTGTAATTATATAATCATTTCCTTCCTTCCGTCAGACAATCCTCCAACGCAAAACCGCAAAATCTATATCCTTTCATTTTGTTTGTTCACGCGGAAACTGTCCTGGATCGTGAACCTAATTTCGGGTTATGTTTCCACGTACGTGTTGATCGAAGCTGATAACACTGGAGAGGAGCTGAGAGATTAACACAAGCCAAAGTAAATAGAGACATGCTGTTCATATCAAGTCGCAATAACTACAGAGTCATCCGGATAATGCTTTGTAAATTATCAAACTACAGGTCAGGCAAAGTGTTCTTATTTCCGGTACTTGATCTCCGTTGGTAAGTAAAACTTGCTGCTGATGTGCTGCCCTAAAAGGTTTGGCTTTGGTACGTGCTGTTTTTCCGAGTCCAAAATCCGAGTCTGTTTCTTTGTCCGTGTTTCTTTATCAGTGATCTTGACAGTGTTTATGGGATCAAATTTAGAATAAGAGTCTGTAACTAGTGTTGAAACTGGATAAGGGTCAATGTCTATTAAAACGGATGTATCCCGGGTAAATAACTGAATATTGGCATGGCTCTCAAGGGATTACTTTTACAATTGAAAGCTACCGAAACCTTTTCAAATTTGATCTTTAAAGCCACCCAATAGATCTGTTGTGCCTCCTCTCTATTTTTCTCATTTTGGCCTCATTTCCTGCACCTAACACGTGAAAAAATGTACGTCTATTGATCGTTCCACTTCATCTTCTGACACGGAAGTAACGCGCTTAAAATGCCACTCACTGCAAGAGGCACTACCAAACAAGCAGAAAAATTGTTATATTTTATTTTTCACGATCTTAACGTTTAGGCGAACCAAAGTTTAGCATCATCACAGCTTCAAGATGATTTAAGATGACGCGGATTTATCTAGGACCAAGGGTCGCTAGTTGACTTAAGATTGTGTACGTACGTAATTAACGACTGCCGAAATCAACAAGGCACCAAAACAACCAATAAACAGCTACACTTACGTTTGTCTTTATCTCTTTTGTCTCGGGAGACCTGTAAAGTACAAATCAAAAGAAGAAGCAAAGTTAACCTAAGGTCGTAACTCACCGATAAAGAAGCTTATGGATGTTTTAAGTAGGGAAGGTGGGAAATTACGCATAATGAATTTAGCTAGGCTTGCAGATTAGCCTTTAATGTAGGAAAGACCTTCACACAAAAGTCACCTTTTGCATATTTGAAAACACTTGCAGTATATTGTCCATCTTCTCCTTGACACGTCCGAGCTCTTTACGTAATTTCTCGTTCTTTTGCTCTTCCTCCGCCAGTCTGTTGGACAATTCTTCCAGCGATTTGCTCGATTCTTCCAGGCCCTTGGACAACGAGTGTAGTTCTTTGAACAAGACAAACAACAACGAGCCAGCGATAATCACACCGACAAAAGTCTTCATCCATCGAAGAGATTGATTTTGCTGCGAAAAACTTTGTCGTACTTCAGTCATCTTGCCTGTGTTGCTTTACGGTATTTCCTCGAAGCCGACTCAATAGTGTGTTTGTGAGGCGCCCGTTTGCCTTTACAAGTCAAGGAAGCTGAAGTATTTCACGGAATTTCGATACTTCTATTTGTGATATCTTCGCCACATATTGTACTGGACACGTGATCTGTGTTTACGGCATCACTCGTTGAGTCATGATTTCTTGGGGACTGCGGATTCCATTTTGAAGTTTCTTTTCAGGGAAACCTATTCATTTCTCAGAAGTCTCTTACCGAAGTATTATTATGCAAAATGGACCTATGTTTACGTTTGGATAAACTTTCTAAGGTTAACAATACAAAAGAATAAAACTATATGTACACTTATGTCCGTACATTGTCAGTTGTTAGCTGTCATTTTATAATCCATTCTGTTGGGATTCTTCGAGAAAAACAAGCTAAATACCTAGAAACGTCTACAGAATAAATTTTCTAAATGAGTCTGAAGCAATGGCCGAGTCGTGTCGCGTTACAATGCAAGGAGCAATTTTTGCATTTCGTTGTATACACGACAGTTGAGTTTTCAACGTATGTTACAGAGCTGTCTGTGTGTTATTGCTTTAAAAAGGCCTCCTTCTGTACCTTAATAGATTACACAATTTCATTAAAAGTATGTCATTGTGATGTGATTGTCGAACACATTAGTTAAACGCTGGACTTTGGCTTCTACACGGGCACTGACAGATGACGTAAAATCTGAACCATGTCGCGGATTTAAGGACTGTATGGACGAAGAACATATTCGTGTAAGCATGAAATTGCGTAACTTCAGACGAAAATGCTAGCTGAGCGAATGAATGTAATCCATACAATTAATTTATAGCTATAACAATAGCTATAACAGGAAACTGTCTCTGGTGGTGCCAAACGGAAATCCGAAATTTACCTTTAGTTCACTGAATTGCATTTTTCAAAATTAGTGTATTAACTCCACAGCAAAACGACTATACACAAGTCGGCTGCAAATGGAGAATTTGGCAACTCGTTTTTTTTCTTTTTTTTTAATCCATGGCGGTGTAGAACATCAGCAGAATCAGTGAATAATTCAGACTCAATGTCGCAAATGAAAGAGACTTCTGGCTGCGTTAAGTACATTCTGCGTTGTTGAAACGACACCGGTACTGAATTAAGTAAACACAAAACGTTCGATCGCGGTGAAAACCAACTGATTCATTTCTTTGACAACGAATCGAAACCATCGTTTTTTTCGTCCATAAATCTTCTCTACACTGATCGCATTTCGAAGTTATTAGGACTGTTTCAACGAACAAACAAAACATGAACACAAACGAATCGTTACAGCCTTGAGCCGTGACCCGGAAACGGAGATGTTCTTAATTCGCGCGTCGCTTTTAGCACTTCTGCCGAAGACGTTTGAATTGCATGATATCCGATTGGTTTCCGGATGTTCTGAATCATGGACACTATAGGGGAATTAAAGACATAAAATTGGAAAGATTGAAAAACAAGAAGAAAGCTACTCACCTTAAATGCTCCTCTATGAATCCAATAAAAGACTCGCTATTATTCGAAGAACACGACACACGTTCATTCGACTTCCTCTGTTTTCATTTCTCAGAATGCAACCTGATGCCACCTCTGTTGTCAAAACGCGATCTATAAAAAAGACCCTTGAGAATCGAATAAACGGTAACTTTCTAATTCATACGAACTCTAAGAAGGACCTCTCTTTGTACGCATATCATCAAACTAGGAGTATATTTCGATACGTGAAGCGTGTAAAGAATGCCTGGAATCAGGAATCGAAAGTGAAAGTGAAACCATTACAAAAAAATAAAGAGCCAATCAGCAAGCGATATGATAATTGGGCAGCTTTACTAGCTCTAACATTGATCAGGTAAAACGAGATTAAACCTGTAACAGTGTTCTTTAAACTGACACTGTCTGTCACAAGCCTGAGTCTTAATTATCCTTACTTATTACTATTCGTTTATTTTAGCGCTACCGGTAGTTCTCAGATGACAAGGCAATATCTTTTAGCTGATGGTCTTCATCAATTCTCTTTAGTTGTTTGCTGTACTTTTTAAGTATATTGTAAAGAGAGACTTTATGTTTAACAGTCCACAAACCAGTTAAGCATCCTGTATTGCTGTAAAGACGTGACATCGTATGAATGCAATTGCAATTGCAATTTAAGGGAGGGTTTCACGGTTCGGCGCGTGCCCATACTTTCGGGTGAGAATTAAGTAATTCGCTTTTTTACTTTATCACATGAAGTTCAGTAATTACAGGGTGTAATTTTTGGTAAGGTAAATGACTGATGCCCAATTTTGACAGCAGACTAGATATCAACGGTTTACATAGAAAGTTTCTAATTAAACACCGAATTTGTTATTCGGGCCAAAGGCACACACAAGTTATCTTCTCAAACCTGATTGGTTGCTCATAAACAGTGGAACTGAGTGGTGCTTCAGAGTTGGTACAAACAAAAGTTATACCAATGAGAAATATCACCTCTAATTCCTCTAATTACTGTTTGCTGAGCATGAGGCCCAGTAAATCATTCATGATGTGAAATTCGAACATAAAATCTGGAAGACTAATTTTTCTTAATCTAATATAACAAAATGAGAAATTTTTCCTTTTTTTTTTTAATTTAAAAACAAAATAGCTCAAAAACCTGTCTGAAAGACTTTTTTGCGTGAATGGTAAGCAGAGCAGGTTTCTAAAGCTAAACAATTTTAGTAAGGCCCTTACTAAAAAGGCCCTTAAAGGGTCATACACAAATTTCATGTACTAGTGCTCAGTCTCCCCATAAGCACTCGGTTATTCGTTTTCGGATACAGCATTTATTATTGTTCGCATTGCTCTAGTGTGGGATACGTTTTTAAAAAGAGTTAATTTTTTTTCAGTCTTTCAATACAGCGGTCACGTCACCTTAGGAATCCATTCTCTCAGGTTTCTGCCCATAAATCACGCGAATGAAACAACGGTTTTCACAATTTTGGCTTCAATAGAACTTCATTACAGTTTCGCTTCCCAGACGATTAATAACAGAGTTGTGCTGGATAAATGGACTCGCAGTTAAAATTATTATTCATTTTCTTTTCAACCAGCTACGGTAAAAAGCCCTCGGGAATCCCAGTATTTTTTTCTTACTCAACAAAAGGCTGCAAGCAAACATTTTCGCTGATGACCTCTCCAATTTTTTTGCGATGTTGAAGAACGGTGCGCCACGGTGAACGCGACGGGAGCGCTCGTCGGAAATTTTGAAAAGTTCTGCTTTGTGGGCGTGGCTTGAAATATTTTTCACTCCTAAGAGAGCTGAGGTACAAATTCTAAAACAGCACATTAACTCGCACTTTCACAATTCTTAATAGCAATAAAGATGATTGCTTCGAATACTTTCTACTCGTAAAGTTTATGAAAGCATTGCTGTAAATCTCTATTAATATCCTAAAAAGACAGAACTCCCGCTCAGGACCTTTTGAGTCTGAACACCCTAAGAGGTCACAAACCCGCTCTCCCTCCCCTGTCCTTTTTACATGGGAGTCCCCCCGGGCTATAGTCACGACTTCATAATCTCCGGGTCATTATGGACGGTTAGTTCATAGCTTGTCTTCCGTCGGTCTGAAACAATTACAATGTAGATCTGTCGTTTTGAAGATGACACCGTTTCGTACTGATAACACGGCCGCAATATTTATTGAAATAATTAATTTAAAAATCGAGTTCATTTGCTTTAAAATTCATCACGTGGCCAGCGGCCCACTGGGGATTCCCCCACCCAGTACTGCACGGAACGTTGCATCAGGTCGAAAAAATGTTCTTTGTCAGCACATTTTTTAAGTGTGGAGAAGGAGGAAAAAACTATCTTTGCTGTTATTTGCGACGGAGAATACGCGAAAGTAAAGATGTTCAAGGTAAGACTTGTGATCTGACGTTCAACACTGTTAAATGGTAGTGTCGCAAGATGTAGAATACTCCTCTTACGAACCACGGCATTTGCCAGCCCCGTGACAATGCTTGCTACATGAACGAAAACCTGGCGTACGTTAGTACACCAGTTAGTTTGGTCGTCTAACAAGTCTTGCCGCGATCAAAATTAAGTATACGCTACAAGAATGCCCTCGTGAACCAGGGAAACTTTATAGCGCTAGTTAGTGGAAAATTACCATTTCTTATCCTGAATCAATTCGCTGTCAGTAATCCTTCGACGTGATCGGTTTCGGAGAGGTTTAATTCCTTCCCTCGATTCGCTTGTTATTTAAGAACATTCTGTTCCCTTACTTTACACAGAGACTTTTAAAATATCTTTCCATTTCTTCCATGGTGTGTTTCGGTGAAATGAAGAACTCGATAAATCCCAGCATTTGCCGCAAAAATAAATAAGATATTATCGTGCAAATGAAACCAGAAACGCTCCCAAGCGTGACATAGCTATAAGTCACAAAATTTATTCTGGTAGCCATGATTTCCTGATAGTTGGTTTAATCAAAAATGAATTTAACAATGCAATTTGTGCGGCTTACTCTCGTGGCCGAAAGATCTTGAGATGTCTGAGAAACTTATTTTTATCATTGACAATAAGCTTACAATTTAATGGTAATAATTGATGCATTACAAAGGTCTTTGCAAATTGAAAACTTCGAATTATGTTCCTTGGCCCGAAATCTTGTCGGAGTAGAAAGAATCAAAGGAAAATAAAACGAGAAAAAAGCGTAGGGGGGAAAAGACTGGAAGAAAGGTCTGGCTCTTTCCGTTAGTTTACAGCGGAACTTGTCTAGTAAACACTCTTCTCCCACACATTCCTGATTCTCTTGATTGTCACGTACATACTGTCACGTAAAATAGTGTCACGCACATACTGTAAGAGAAATCGGTTGAACCCGCGATTTGGTTGAATTTCCATCGAAAGGGTATGTCGAGAAATGAAAATCACGCGAAAGAAACAGAAAAAGATGCATTTATTTTGTAACTGGATTTTACAGCTAGATCCTGGCTTCTAATATGTCACACAATCTTTCTCCCCGATGCGGAACTGCTCTTGTTGATAATACCATTAACTTATCTTTATCTCTGTTGACGACAAACACAATGATTCATTTGGAATTTTTTACAAGCTGACAACTACATGTCAGGAATACTGTAAAGTTTTAAGTCTACAATGCATGTGTAGTGGAACGTCAACCCCAGGATGTTAACCGTATTTTAGATTTAGGTACTTTTGACAAGGATTCTAATCTCAAAATACAGGTAAGTATGTAATTTGTACAGCGCGCGTGAAATTGTTACGTCTATTACTAACTCTACTTTATTGACGATAATTTACAAATTTTAATTCCATGAATATTGAGTAAGAAGTGTAATTGAGCCGAGGAGAATGTCCCAGGGGTGGCTCAAGGAAACCCAGAAACTGGGGTCTGTAACAGTTGCAACGAGACCATAACCATAGTAACCTCAAGATACAGTAACTCCTTGCCATCCCCTCCCTAAATTCACCCCTGGATCTAACTTTAAGGAAAACTACTACGCCATGGTGATTGCAATACAGAAAACGCGAGTCTGATTAAAATAAAACTTTGACAAGAATTTTGATTTCCTAACTTACCAAACACTCAAGATTATGAAAATTGCTTCGAGATGTCTAGATGTCATGTTTGCAGCTCGGAATTTAAAAAGAAAGAAAAAGAAAGTCAAGAATCACCAATACTTGCGCGAGTTACCAGAAGGAACAAAGCAGAGTGCTGAATTGTGCGGGGCCTGCCTTCAACTTGCCGCCTCCCAGTTCCCTAAGGCTGAATTACACACAAGCAAGAGGTTGCACACCCAGGTGCAGTGTGTTGAAATTTTGATCGACCTTGTGCTTGTGCTTACGTGTAAACGCGGTGCTTTATGTCATCGAAAGACTGATGAAGGCCAGGACTCCTTTAGTCTCCTCCGCAGCAGTTATTTTGGGATGTCACGTAACGCTCTCCCAAAAAGCGTTGCGCGACATCCCAAAAGAACTCTGCGGGGGAGACTAGGACCCCTCGTGATTATGTTACCCTGGTTACACGGGTGAAGTTACGACACAAGGATTAGGGCGGGCAGCAGTAAGAGTTTTGTCTCGATATGCAAGGTAGCAGTTTAAATTGATCAGAAAAAAATATAGTTGGTCTGTTCACGGTTTAGTTTACGTAGAAACCAAACAAGTCTCGTTTTACTGAAGATCCTGACCAACGCCCGTTGATTCGGCAACACTGGTGATATTAGACACGGGGCTTACCAAGAAGGCACCAAAATAGCTGGTCTCCCTGTTCATAAAGTAGGACTTTGTGAACGGGATTCGCACGGAGATTTTGTCGCCTCTCCTGAGCAGGAATACCGCTCCTTGGTAATTTGTGTTGTACTTCTTTGTCTCGCTAACCACGCTGCTCAGACTGCGCATGACAGGGTCCTCATTGATGTATGTGTAATGGCCCATGAAGAGGGTGTCCCCGGCGTAATAGAACAGTTGGCTGTACACGAAGTA